CGCGTGTGTACACAAACAGACCAGGTGATTTGGAAGAACTTAAAAACCGTATTCGTTTTGAAATAAATCAAATCGACCCGGGAATGCTTGAACGAAGTGTAGACGGCGTTTACACACGCTTAGGACAATGCCAAATGGTACAGGGTGGGCAATTCGAACAATTTCGCTAGACTTACACAAACATTAGTGTAATTTTACTCGTTTGAAATGTAATTTTGTCAACTTTGTCCTTTTCGGAGCCATTAATAGTGTAAGTAGACAATTATCACTTATAAGAACTTAAGGTGCATTTTTCTAAAAAAAATTGTTATGTAAGACATCGAAATTTTCACACCGTTGTTTAGATAATTATCACTGTCATCAATTTCGAACGAAAAAAATATGCGTTGTCATTTAAAAAAAAATTGTCATCGCTGCCGTAAGTGGATTATCGAAAAAAAATTTTTCCACATAACAAAGTGCCCTGGATCAAATAAAAATCGACGGGTCTCACCGTTTTTCGAAAAAAAAATTGTTTAACGAAAATATGAATTTTATGCAGAACTTTTTTACCACACTGTATATTTATGTCTAAATAAAAGTTCGCAATTTAGAATTTGTAAAATACTCGTCTTCTCCATTATCCAACAATCGTGAGGTGTGGTCCTGAACAATATCGAGAAGAAACCTTGTTTTTTGAATATTGTTATATGCAGCGATTTTTGAAATTTATTGAAAAAATTAACATTTTTTAAGAACATCAACATAGTTTGCAGTTTAATAAGTCTACAAGTACTGCCTTATTATCATTCTATTATAAAATTATTGAATATATTGAAGCAGGAGAGTGTCCTATTGGCATATTCTGTGATATCAGTAGAACATTCGATTGCGTTAATCATAACAAGTTGCTTTCAAAACTATCCTCGTATGGTGCACGGGTAGTAGTAAACGAGTGGGTCGCATCTTTTTTGGAAAAACGTAAACAATATTTTAGTCTGACTTACACGGACGAGAATATTTCATTGAATATAAATTCTGAATCTCTGGTGGTCGGTATAGGTGTTCCTCAGGGATCCATACTAGGCCCAATTCTATTTTTACTGTATACCAACGAATTTGGCAACGTAGTTTCTGACACCTCTTTTGTCATGTATGCCGATGACACATCCTTGTTAGTATCTGATAACATAAACAATTCTCTAGAAACAAAAACTGATGTTTTATTAAAGTCAGTGGGTACGTGGTATAGGTCCAACCATCTCTATGTCAATCCTGAAAAAGACTCAAGTAATAACTGTTTATCAAGCGTATGTGAGTTCCAGATTGAGATATGGTGTTGTTTTTTGGGGAAATTCCTCCCTTGCATCAGACGTTTTTGTTTCACAAAAACGTATTTCAAGACACATGGCTGAAATACCTTGTGACCACTCATGAAAACAAATTTTTAAAAATTTTAATTATTTATTTAATAAAATTTAACGTTTGTCTTTATTTATCTTCGAATTGTCCGTATACGTTTTTATAAATAAGTCTACTTTTAAATTAAATTAAACCATTCATAATAAAAGGCAAAAAAGAAATTTCACATTCCTTTTTGTAAATACAAAATATCTTGTGATTCACCATTTTATTTAGGTTTAAAAGTTTTTAATAAATTGCTTTGAAAACATATTTCAGAAAAAGTATAAATATACAAAAGATATACTTATTCCAAGAAAAAGAGTAAATACCTATTTGGTAATATAAGCAAACGCTCTGATACGAAATATATATAGAATTGTTTTTGTTAAGTATTATTTATTATCCTTCTGTGCTTCTTATTATGTCGCCGTAACCAAGTTCAGATTGCTATTTCTGTTTCCCTGTGGGTATTGTTCTTTATTTCCGCTTCCGCAGCAACTGCAAAGCAAATATTATAGGTAATGTATGGTAGATGTAGCGCAGTATATTTATTAAAAATTGTTATCCCTGAACCTATCACATTAATTTAATATTCATACAGGGTCCGCCACTAGTGTGTGCATTTTTTAAATAGAATAGAACACCCTGTATATTTTTGCATGTTTGGATAGCTCTTTGCAGCAAATAATACAGGGTTTATGTGCGTTTCGATGGGCCGTTTTCCTAGTAGAGGCTCATAAATCCGAAAATAGTCCGATGCAGCTATTTGTAAACACTCAGTATGATGTAGTTTTAACGAATCTGCGACATAAACAATCATTGATAGTTTTGCAGTTTCTTAGAAACCACCGAAGTGTTGTCATTATTCTTGAGTTATACAGAGTGATCGAGCTTTGCAAATGCAAAAATTATAAAAAAATTTTAAATGGAATGACCTTTTTTTATTAGCTAATTATGAAAAGCAGATAGAATTAATTACCTTTCCAACAATACCATATTGTGTGGGGTTACTTTTGATAGTTTTCATGTAAATGAACTTTTAAATTAAATTTTCTTTTATTTTTAACTTTTCTGGCGCCCAATAAAATATCTGCTCAGTTACAATTATGTATTTACAAATGTTAACTATTTAATTAATTATTTAGTTATTATTTAATTATTGTTTAACAATAATTACCAATATTAATATTTACAAATTAGTAAATGTACAATAAATCGTAACTACAAAAGAAACAAAATCAAATCTTGAGCATGAGGTTCCAAGTACGTACATACGTTATTTTTAAAAGACCAACAAAAAAAATCAAAACAAATGTTCAAAGTTTAGTGCATTCACTTCTATGCATTTTTTAATTCTTTCTTCAAATGATGGTTTAACTCTTATTAGCACATCAGGTGTGATACTGTTAAAACAGTCTTGAATTCTCTGCTTCATATCATTTTCTGTATTTGGTGTTTGGTTAACAAACCTTGTCTTTCACATATCCCCACAAGAAAATAATTAAGAGGATGAGATCTGGGCACCGAGGTGGCCAGTTCATCGCTCCACCTCTTCCGATCCACCTATCTGTAAACTGTTGGTTTAATATGTCTTTTGGAACTGCTACACAGTGGGCAAGTACCCGGTCATGCTTGAACCACATCGTATTCAAAATTTCACGTGGCAATCCCTACATTAAGTCATCTTTTAAAAACCTGACATAACTCCAGTAATACCTAGTGCCACAGCTAGGATCGTTCGTAAGTTTAACCAACCAGACATAGGTCGGTTTGGGACTTATTGATTGTCCTCATCATTATGTTAGAACGATCCAGCTGCTTTAGTGTTGTTACCCTCAATGAGGTGTGTATACACAGAGCGTAAATGGCTCCATCTATCGTACTACTTCCTAGCTACGCCATTCTGTGACCTGCTACAATTTTCTTCCAAGAAAACATAAGTTTGATTATAATATGCTACATTTGTCTTGAATAATTCCTACATTAATACTAAATTTCAAATATATGTACCTATATATTTTAAGGAACTGGTAGTTTTAAAACAAATATGTTTACAGTTTATGATGAACTGTAAGATATATTGCAGCTAAAGTCCGAGATAACAAATTTCAAAACTATAAAAGATTTGAATTAAATTATATATATTTACAAATAATATAAATTCTAAGAAAAATTATAGATTACAGCAAATATTTCGCATAGTTTGACGAAAGTACGTATATACATTTAATTAGAATAAAATAACATTTACCGCAAATAATTCCATTTAAAACTGGTTGCTCATTTGATCCAAATACTTTTTTTTCAGTGTTCAGTGGTTGTTTTTCGATAATATTCAGAATTTTTTCAAATCCTCAGGGTTTGAGATATATTCTTCTAGAATGATCCTGCGCAAACACCCGAGTTGCTTGTGCAGAATTTTTAAAACAAAAATTGAAATTGTATCCTAAAGTTGATTGTCATTGTACTAGCGTACCATTTTCCCAAAAATGTTTGTCACTCATTAGAAAATTTTAAAAGATTGTTAAAACACTACGAAAATGCCCACAACAAGCTTACATCAAACACTTCAAAAATGCAAATAAATGTTTCTCTGTTCTTATAAATTTTTTACGAAAGAGATTTTTTTAAACTCTTTTAAATTGTTTTGGCATCATTAAAATTGAAATATCACTTTCGAAAACACTTCGTATACAAAAATTATAGGCTGTGTTCACCGTAAATGTATTTGAAATTTATTGACCAATTGACCAATTTTTATTTCAATTTTCGAGATTTGCTTTTTGTTTTTACCACTTTTATAACTAAATTTATTTCTCTTACAATCTGATCCTTAGTTAAATTACTGTTCAGAATAAATATATTTTTTTATTTATTGCCTCTCTTCTTTTCCCATTAATTTTCCGGAACGCAACCACTGATATCATAAATAAATCTCCCTTGATGTTTCTATGCTACTTTATTGTAAAAACTGTACAAAATTACACACAACACGTTAGCAACTACACACCCAGAGGCTCCACAGGTGTGCCCTTTATGAACACGCGTTATCCCGCAGGAAGATACAGTCACGCAACCTCCTGGGAGTAAGGAGCCGCTGAAAGGCCATTGTACACAGGACAAAAATTCGATTATAGCTGCCGCAGGTTAGACTACGGTACTGGGAGAGTCAATGGGCGTGACGACCATGGACCGTCTTGAACTTCCTCGTTAGCAATCGCCTGTTCTTTTGCGCCCTCTAAAAAAATAAAGATTTTTTACTAAGATCTAACACAGTAATCAATCAATAGTTGAAGTTTTTTGCTGCGCAATGAATTACACTGGACAAATTTTACCTGTAAGGAAAAAACGATTTGTAAAAAAATATTATATTACTGTGGTCTTCCATTTTATGCAAAAGCTATCAAAATCGTAATAGTGTACAGAGTGATTCACAAACGGCGACCAAAAATGAAACCTCGTATTCTTTGGTGAATTTTAAGAGGAGTATTTCTTATAATATTTTATCTAGGACGCTTTATTAAAAAGATATAGGGAGTTAAACTTCAAACAATATTTTAAATTTTTTTAAATATTTTAAAAATCAGTAAGTGAAATAATTTGAAATTAGACACATGTATTTATGAAAACATTGTCCAAAATCTGAGGCCTTTTCCTAAAATTTGGATGCTCCAGTGGTGGAGATACTGGGTATCGGTGGCATATTTTTCTAAATAAAGTAGTACGCCACTGTTTTACGGTAATGATATTTTCGGATTCGTCTTTCAATTTCAATGCAAATTACTACTCTTATGTTTTCGGGACAGTGAAATTTTGTTTGAATTTCGAGTTTTTGTACATTATGAAAAAGTATGTATACGACTCAAGAAAGAGTTGATATGGTTAGAGCCTACTTTTTGTCACGAGTAAAGAAAACGATATCAGATAGACGTAGACTTATACAGGGTGTTTCTAAAATAGGGTTCCAAACTTCTGCCGCGTTTATAACTCATTAAAATAAGCCAAAAAGTTCCTATTAACACGTGCCCTAAAACGCATCCTTAGGAAGTTATATGCCCTTAAAAGGGCTCAAACAAAACTGGTTTTTTTCAATACTTAAATTTTGCACTCACCACTTTTACTAATTAAACACTGCAAAGCTCAATTGACAGTTTATCAATAACATAAATTGTTAAGCGTTGTGGCAACGTCAGTCTTTTATTTGCCATGGTAAACAGATTTTTGTAATTTTTGGCCTAATAACTTAAAGAGCAGAGTAATTTTCAAACTCAATTTACTCGAAAACCATTGGAAATATCGATTTGGACAAAGATAATATTTTTTACGTAAAATTGTTAAGATTTTATAAATCTGTAGAGAAAATTGTAAAAAAATTGAAATAAAAAAAATTACGGGCCGAAAACCCCCTTCACCAACCTAAATGGGACGCATATGATTTGCATGTCGAAAAACGGAGTAGCCCATGTTATTTAACGTAAAAAGTTATGTAAGACCCATAAATTTTTTTCTATTTATTTGCGACCGTTTTGTCAATAACAGAAAAAAAAACAGTTTTGTTTGAGCCCTTTTAAGGGCATATAACTTCCTAAGGGTGCGTTTTAGGGCACATGTTAATAGGAACTTTTTGGCTTATTTTAATGAGTTATAAACGCAGCAGAAGTTTGGAACCCTATTTTAGAAACACCCTGTATAAGTACCGAATAAGAAAATGTTTGCCAGATTGGTTCAACATTTAAGATACTATTTGATAACAATGTACAGCCCAGTTACCAATTGTGCATGCTCTGCGACTAAAGTTCGCTCTAATTTGAAGTTACACAGTTACACTAGCTTGTTCAGCGGCGGGGTAAGAAATTTACGAAAAAAACGTAAAAAAAAGTTTTTGCGACTGAATTTGAAAAATAAACTATTGATACAAGGTCAAAGGAAGCCTCTGTAAAAATATCATCCTCACTCAAATTTATACACTGTTTTAAACATAAAAAGCAACCATTTTTAACAGTATTTACCAAATTTGTTTTTGACTGAACTTGTAAACTATATTTACGTGTGTTGTTCTGAAATAATATGCATACTTGCCAAAGCCTAGCAGAAGAGGTAAATATAAACAATTTTTATTAAGCAAGGTGTTATATAAAGTGTCATGTGTTCCAGCAAACTAGTCAAGAACTATTACACGAAACTTAAACCGTCTCTGTGTCGCCCAAATTAATCAACTGATCAACTGTTTGTGATTTTCTCTACATAGGTGGATATGACGCAATGGACTTTGGGAAGCGCGAAAGGTTCGATATGAATCCCCTAAATTTTTTCGTTTGGATAAGTATGAAAAGAGTGGAAAGTATCGAAGGCCGTTGTCAGTACCACCGATCTTCAACAGATTATTTTTATTGTAGGTGATTAAATTAGACAAATTCCTGGAGTAATGCTTCTTAGTATCGTTCGTGGAAATAATTTCAAACAATTTCTTCAGAATCGACTAATATCGTTTTATGGTTAAGTTGTTTATTTGTATTATTCCCAACGGTATTTCAATTCTTTCTATCTAAGAGCATTAAAAAACTGTTTTAAAGTAAAAATTTTGACTGGGTAAAAAACGGTGCCAAGCGACGTCCTTCAAAATCAACAATCCAAAACTTTTCTGTTTAAAGAAATCGTCAAATCAAAGGATTTGACGATTTTCTCTCTGATTTGACAATGTGTTAAATAACGAAAATTCCGACAGGGTTAAATTTTGGTGGAGACCTTGGGTACACCATTAGAAATAAAGTGTCAAAAGTCCCCATCGATCCCATGTGTGCTAAAAATGTTATTCGGGTTATATATTCTTCAAAAAGTTTATCTGCTTATCCAAAATGCCAAAACCATATCTTATTTTTACATGCGATAACCGGCTGCGATATTACATCAGCAATGTTCAATACATCAGTATTAAAATTATTTGAAAAAAAAGATTTTATTAAGATATTCTTCACCTCAAACAACAATCACAAAAGGAATTCGCTTTCTCCTTGCTGTTTATGGAGCTCCAAAAAAAAATTGATTGCATAGATAAATATAGATATTTAACTTTTGTAAAAAATACACGAAACAAGAAACAAGTACTATCTTGTCTTCCTCCAACATCGGCTTCTGCTAATCAACACTTGTATCGAGTATACTATCAAGTTCAGACATGGCTAGGCAATCAGCTGAACCTAGAAGACGGGTTGGAAATTAACAGATAATATTTTGGATCTGATTCAAACTTTACTCCCACCTGCCCCGGAAAAACTCCTAAACACTATTTTTTGCAATTGCAAAAAAGGTTGTAGTGCTAAATGTGGCTGTAGAAGAGCAGGGTTACTGTGTTCTCCAGCGTGTACTAATTGCCAAAGCCAGTTTTGCTCAAATGTCCAATTGAATACAACAGACGAAGATTCATGTGATTTCGATGACGAGACAGCTGATTCATCTTCATTTGAGCAATTTATGAACATCCGGCAAGAAGAAGAGGAAGAAGAAGAAATCGAAGAAGACATGACTGTTGAAGTCGAGTTTGAAGAGTATGAATCAGATTAAAATATAAAAAGAAATCAGAACTACAGTTAAAGTCAATAACCTATATCAATATCAATAATAATCATGCAGTTAAAAGAGTATTGTCCCTAAAAATTCCGTCATAACAGTTTGTGAAGTAGACCTACCGGGGAAACCACGTTAAAAAAAAGCGCCAAAGTACACTACCTCACAGGTAGTGTGGAAATGTGTGCATATCATGTAAAACGTGACTCCTTCAACTATTAGAATCGCGATATCTCAGGAATGGCGATTATTAGAAAAAAAGTATAAGGACCATTTTTGTAGATAATTTTAAGATCTATAATTTTGTCAGGGCTACTTTTTTGATAAAACTTACCGTTTTCGAAAAAAAATCCAAAAAACCTCAAATTTTGACCTTTGACCCCAAATAACATTTTTAGCACACATGGGGTCGGTGAGGACTTTTGACACTTTACTTCTAATGGTGTACCCAAGGTCTCCACCAAAATTTAGCTCTGTCGGAATTTTCGTTGTTTGAAATGTCTATTTTGACCGGACTACCCTTTCTATAGCAGTTTCGTTCTCTGCCACTCCATAAGTTTCATAGAATTGGTTTAAAAACGCAACATCAGGCAACACTGGCAAGCGGGCGAATACAATCGTGCTCGGGAATTGCCAGTGGCGGCGTAGATATGAATTTAAATACAGTTAAAAAAAACGAATTATAACTTAACTTTTTTAAACAAAAAATTATACTCAAAATTACACTTTAAGTAATCCTGGATGGGTGACGAAGCCTACAGTGGACCACCCCGTACAGCCAATATCTGCATCGACAAATAATGAATGTACGATATTATCGATCCCGTCTGCAGTTTCATCGAGGCTGACGTTCCATCCCGACAAAAAGGCACGCGCCAAAGTACACTACCTCACATGTGGTGTGGAAATGTGTGCATATCATGTAGAATGTGACTCCTTCAACTTTTAAAATAGCAATATCTCAGGAATGGCGATTCTTAGAAAAAAAAGTATAAGAACCATTTTTGTAGATAATTTTGTAGATCTATAATTTTTGTCAGGACTACTTTTTTGATAAAACTTACCGTTTTCGGAAAAAAATCCAAAAAACCTCAAATTTTGACCTTTGACCCCGAATAACTTTTTTAGTACACATGGTATCGATGGGGACTTTTGACACTATATTTCTAATGGTGTACCCAAGGTCTCCACCAAAATTTAGCTCTGTCGGAATTTTCGTTATTTGCAATGTCTATTTTGACCGGACTAATGTATTCAACAAATAAATATAGTAATGTGACACATATATTGGAGGTTTTAAATAGTGTTGATTAAAACTACACAGGGTTTAATAAATGAATCCTTCAGCGATTTTCCTAAAAATCGTTTTCAAAAAAATTATAATTTTTAAAATCAGTCGAATTGTGTATTCCAAAAAGAATTTGGACTTCTGTCACCTGGTAAAGTTGAATGTATGAATGAAATCGTCCTCCCTTCGAATGTTTCTAAGCGCACCACTGTCGAATGATTTCTTCCTTAAAAAAAAAACAAGGAAAGTTGGAGTCTCATCTACGCTTATACACTTCAATCCACACTGACTAGTTTCTCAATAAATCATCAAGTTTCCAAACCATTTGCATTGTTCCTCACTATCCCAACGAAGTTCATATTTTGTCGTTGTTTGAAAAACATAAA